AACAAAAACAATTATGCAACAATGCTTTTCGTGTCAAAACAAGTCAGTTTTTTTGTGTGTGTCCGCCAAAGTGTGCAAAGGCTAGCTTTCGAGATGTGTTGAAAGATTTTGAAATTAAAAAAGCTTTATCTGTAGTAGTTTGTTTCATTGTTATATAAAACAAATAGATTCCATGTTGCCCTACATCTGTATATACATGTATATATTTTAAAAAAGATTCCATGTTGCTGTACATCTGTTCAGTAATAGATCACAGAAGACGTCAAAATGTGGTAAGGACAAAAGTGACGCACGGCTATCGCCTCATGTGCCCCTTTTTTTATCCTTACCACATTTTGACGTCATCTGTGATCTATTACTGAACAGATGCATGGCAACATGGAATCTTTTGTTTAACTGTATACATGTATAGAGTATACATTAGGAAAGTCAAACAAACCATTTAGATTTTAGATTTTTTGTCTACATGTACCGACGGAGATTGCTGAGCTGAAAGAAGAATGCGCTTGTCAGTCAACCAAAACGCAAACTTATAAGTGGATAACTCCCAGGTTATTATAGCTTACATAAAATGAACTTATGAAAGTAACAGTGAAGTGGAAATGTATTCATTTTAACTGATACTATACTGCACTTTATTTCAAGATCTCACAAGGATTTTCTGCAGATTTGTGTATCTTGCGANGGCTAGCTTTCGAGATGTGTTGAAAGATTTTGAAATTAAAAAAGCTTTATCTGTAGTAGTTTGTTTCATTATTATATAAAACAAATAGATTCTATGTTGTCCTACATCTGTATATACATGTATATATTGAAAAAAAAAGATTCCATGTTGCTGTGCATCTGTTCAGTATTAGATCACAGAAGACGTCAAAATGTGGTAAGAACATCAGTGATACACTCGGCTATCGCCTCGTGTGCCCCTTTTTTGTCCTTACCACATTTTGGCGTCATCTGTGATCTATTACTGAACAGATGCATGGCAACATGGAATCTTTTTTTTAACTATATACATGTATAGAGTATATGAGGAAAGTAAAAGAAACCATTTAGATTTTAGATTTTTTGTCTACATGTGCCAACGGAGATTGCCGAGCTGAAAGAAGAATGCGCTTGTCAGTCAATCAAAACGCAAACTTATAAGTGGAGAACTCCCAGGTTATTACAGCTTACATAAAATGGACTTTTGAAAATAACAATGAAGTGGAAATGTATTCATTTTAACTGATACTATACTGCACCTTATTTCAAGATCTCAAAAGGATTTTCTGCAGATTTGTGTATCTTGCGATGTTTATGTTGGTACACAGTAAATTAGAGGGTATTCAG